CCTCAGTTCTTTTCATTCATTTTTCTTTTTTCTGCTCTGTGCTAGTTATTTCCACTATTTTATCTTCCAGGTCACTTATCTGTTCTTCTGCCTCAGTTATTCTGCTGTTGGTTCCCTCTAGAGCATATTTAATTTCATTTATTGTGTTGTTCATCATTGTTTGTTTGCTCTTTAGTTATTCTAGGTCCTTGTTAAACATTTCTTGTATTTTCTCCATTTTGTTTCCAAGATTTTGGATCATCTTTGCTCTCATTGCTCTGAATTATTTTTCAGGTAGACTGCCTATTTACTCTTCATTTGTTTGGTCTGGTGAGTTTTTACACTGCTCCTTCATCTGCTGTGTGTTTCTCTGTCTTCTCATTTTGCTTAACTTACTGTGTTTGGGGTCTCCTTCTCACAGGCTGCAGGTTCATAATTCCCATTGTTTTTGGTGTCTGCCCCCAGTGGCTAAGTTTGGTTCAGTGAGTTGTGTAGGCTTCCTGGTGGAGGGGACTGGTGCCTGTGTTCTGGTGGATGTGGCTGGATCTTGTATTTCTGGTGGGCAGGACCACGCCTGGTGGTGTGTTTTGGGGTGTCTGTGGCCTTATTATAATTTTAGGCAGCCTCTCTGCTAATGGGTGGGATTGTGTTCCTATCCTGCTAATTGTTTGGCACAGGGTGTCCAGCACTGTAGCTTGCTGGTTGTTGAGTGGAGCTGGGTCTTAGCGTTGAGATGGAGATCCATGAGAGAGCTTTTGCCATTTGATATTACGTGGAACCAGGAGGTCTCTGGTGGACCAGTGCCCTGAACTCAGCTCTCCCAGCTTAGAGGCTCAGGCCTGACACCCCACTGGAGCACCAAGACCCTGTCAGCCACAAGTCTCAGAAGAAAAGGGAGGAAAAAAGAAAGAGAGAGAGAGAGAGAGGAAGGAAGGATGGAAGGAAGGACAGAAAGTTATTAAAATAATTTTTTTTAATTATTAAAAATTTTTAAAAAGGAAGAAAGAAAGAAGAGAGCAACCAAACCAAAAAGCAAATCCACCAATGATAACAAGCACTAAAAACTATACTAAAAAATCAAACCAAACAAAAAAGAACCAGACAGACAGAACTGTAGGACAAATGGTGAAAGCAAAGCTATACAAACAAAATCACACAAAGAAGCATACACATACACACTCACAAAAAGAGAAAAATGAAGAAAAAAAATATATATATATAAAAGAAAGAGAGCAATCAAATCAATAAACAAATCTACTAATGATAATAAACTCTAAATACTAAACTACAATAAACATAAAACCAGAAACAAATTAGATGCAGAAAGCAAACCCCAAGTCTACAGTTGCTCCCAAAGTCCACTGCCTCAAGTTTGGGATGATTCCTTGTCTATTCAGGTATTCCACAGATGCAGGGTACATCAAGTTGATTGTGGAGATTTACTCCACTGCTCCTGAGGCTGCTGGGAGAAATTTCCCTTTCTCTTCTTTGTTCACACAGCTCCTGGGGTTCACCTTTGGATTTGGCCCCACCTCTGCGTGTAGGTCGCCTGAGGGCATCTCTTCTTCCCCCAGGTAGTATGGGGTTAAAGGAGCAGCTGATTAGGGGACTCTGGCTCACTAGGCCTGGGGGAGGGAGGTGTACGGAATGTGGGGCGAGCCTGTGGTGGCAGAGACCAGCGTGACTGTGCAACAGCCTGAGGCATGCTGTGTGTTCTCCCAGGGAAGTTGTCCCTGGATCACGGGACCCTGGCAGTGGCGGGCTGCACAGGCTCTGGGGAGGGGAGGTGTGGTTAGTGACCTGTGCTTGCACACAGCCTTCTTGGTGGCTACAGCAGCAGCCTTAGCTTGTCATGCCAGTCTCTGATGTCCACACTGATAGCCACAGCTCGCACCCATTTCTGGAGCTCATTTAGGCGGTGCTCTGAATCCCTTCTCCTCGCGCACCCCGAAACAATGGTCTCTTGCCTCTTAGGCAGGTCCAGAGTTTTTCCTGGACTCCCTCCCGGCTAGCTGTGGCACACTAGCCCCCCTTCAGGCTGTGTTCATGCAGCCAACCCCCGTCCTCTCCCTGGGATCGGACCTCCAAAGCCAGAGCCTCAGCTCCAAGCCCCCACCAGCCCTGGCGGGTGAGCAGACAAGCCTCTCGGGCTGGTGAGTGCTGGTCCACACCAATCCTCTGGGCGGGAATCTCTCCGCTTTGCCCTCTGCACCCCTGTTGCTGCGCTCTCCTCCATGGCTCCAAAGGTTCCCCCCCACACCCCGCGTCTCTACCAGTGAAGGGGCTTCCTAGTGTGTGGAAACTCTTCTTCCTTCACAGCTCCCTCCCAGAGGTGCAGGTCCCATCCCTATTCTTTTGTCTCTGTTTTCTCTTTCTTCTTTTGCCTTACTCAGGTACGTGGGAATTTTCTTGCCTTTTGGGAAGTCCGGGGTCTTCTGTCAGCATTCAGTAGGTGTTCTCTAAGAGTTGTTCCACATGTAGATGTATTTCTGATGTATTTGTGGGGAGGAAGGATGATCTCCATGTCTTACTCCTCTGCCCAATTATCTTTTAAAGAGATTTAAATAATATGAAAATATATGAAATATGAAAATATATGAAATAATATGAAAATATGTCTTACATATTTGCCCATGTAAGTATCTTTTTCATTGTTCTTAATTCCTTTGTGTAGATCTATATTTCCATTTGTTATCATTTTTCTTCCTTTTGAAAGACTTCACTTAATATTTCTTGGGAACATTGGGGTGCAAATCTGCTGGTGATGACTTTTTTTAAATTAATTAATTTATTTATTTATTTTGACTGCATTGGGTCTTTGTTGCTGTGGGTGGGCTTTCTCTAGTTGCGGCTAGTGGGGGCTACTCTTCGTTGCAGTGTGTGGGCTTCTCATTGCAGTGGCTTCTCTTGGTGTGGAGCACAGGCTCTCTGCATGCAGGCTTCAGTAGTTGTGGCACGCAGGCTCAGTAGTTGTGGCTCATGGGCTTAGTTGCTCTGCAGCATGTGGGATCTTCCTGGACCAGGGCTTGAACCTGTGTCCCCTGCATTGGCAGGAGGATTCTTAACCACTGCGCCACCAGGGAAGTCCCGCTGGTGATGATTTCTTTCAGATTTTGATCTTGAAAGATATTTTCACTGGTACGGAATTCTAGCTTGACAATTTTTTTTCGGTCCGTACTTTAAATATGGTTCTTCACTGTCTTCTCATGTGCTTTATTTCCTCCCAGAAACCTGCTATCATCATCTTTTTTTTTAATACTAATATGTCCATTTTTCTGACTACTTTTAATATTTTCTCTTTATCATGGTTTTGAGCAATTTGGTTATGATGTATCTTGGTGTAGTTTCCTTTATGCTTCTTGTGTTTAGTTTTCATTTAGCTTCTTGAATCTCTGGGTTTTTACTTTTCCTCAAATTTGGAAAAATTTTGGCCGTTATTTCTTCAAACACTTTTTTTTGTCCCCACTACAATCTTCTTTCCTTTAGGGACTCAAATTATGTATATATTAGGCAATTTGAAGTTGTTTCACAGCTCACTGATTTTTTAAAAGATTGTTTCTATTGCTGTGTCTGCAAGTTCATGCATCTTTTCATCTGTAATATCTAATCTCTCATTAATCTGTCTAGTGTATTTTTCATCTCACGTATAATTTTCTTATCTAGAAGTCCATTTTGGGTCTTTTTATAGTCTGTGTCTCTAGTTAACTTCTTAAACATATGGAATACAATTATAATAACCTTTAATATTCTTCTCTGCTAACTTAATATCTGGGTCAGTTCTGGGTCAGTTTTGACTGATTATTCTTCTCATTATGGGCCATGTTTTCTTGCCTATTTACATGCCTGGTGATCTTTCTTTGGACGTCAGATTATATGAATTTTACCTTGTTTAATGCTGGCTATTTTTGCATTCCTATGAACATCCTTGAGTTTTGTCCTCTGATACAGTTAAGTTACTTGGAAACAGTTTTATCCTTTTAGGTCTTACTTTCATGGTTTGTTAAGTGGATCTAAGCAGGGTTCACTCTAGGGCTAATCCCCATTACTGAGACAAAACCCTTGTGAATATTTTACCGTGTACCTCATGAATTATGAGCTTTTCCAGTCTGGTCAGTGAGAACAGGCACCAGCCTTGGTGAGCACCAGACAGAGGAGTCTTTCTCCAGACTCAAGTAGTTTTCTTACACACATGCTGGTCAGTATTCTCTCCCCATACTTGAGGGGTGCTAATCTCTGGGGTCCTTTCTGTGCAGCTCTATCCTCTCTAGTAATCTGTCCTGTGAACTCCAGCCACCTTGGTCTCCCCAGATGCTCTACTCTATTTCCTCAACTCAGATAGTCCAACCTGCATGTTCTAGAAACTTTTTCAAAGCAATAACCTGGGGCAATCATGGGTCTCACTTTGTTTCTTTTTGCCATTTCTCAAGTCTGTTGTCCTGTCTCTTGAAAACCATTGTTTCATACCTTTTTTGCCTATGGGTTGTTTTTTGTTGTTTGTTAATTGGTTGGTGACTTCAGGCAAGAGGATAAATCTCATCCCTATTACTTCACCTTGTCTGGAAGTGAAAGTTTAACATGTCATTTTTTCCTGTTTTCAAGGCCACGGGATTCAACAGATCTAATCTGAGCTCTTTGAGAACTGTTTAGGCTCAGCTGATTCCTACTGATATGTATACATATACATATATACCATATATAATATATAGATACATATATCATATATAATATATAAAATATATCAGTATGTGTGTATACACATATACACATACATATATATACATATGATATAGAGTGAGAATACAGAATGTTTGGTCTAGTTAAAACTTGAAATCAGTCTGAAAGAAGTTAGTACTAGCCACTAGGATCTTTTTGGATAGAATGCTACTTATTTCAAAGAAGTCATGAGTATAGTGTTGAAAGTTTCTTAGATTCTAGTCTCAATTTCTAGAAAAAAATGTGTATTTCTAAAAGTAACTATGGAAATTATGATTAACACCTTCGTTTCCTTATTTAAAAATTAGAGGATAATGTATATAAAAATATGCAAGAATCAGAGGAAACTCACATATCCAACCACCTGGATGAAATTGTTGCTGCCGTCAGCATAACACCTAGAAAAATGCTCCAAAACAAGCTGCCTCAGACAGCACTGTTTCAGCCTCCTCGCGAGAAACTCCACCTCTGTGAAGAGAAAGCAAAGTCCTATTCTAGCAGTCATGAGGTAAGGAGCCTTTCTTTTTATACCTGTACTCTGGTAATTGAGAAGTAGGATACTTTAGGTTGCATTCCTACTCTCAGGAGTTTGGTACAAGAGAAAATATGACAGTGCCTTTTTCATAGTGTGAGTGGGTGTAGTACCTCAGGACTCCAAGCCCAGCACTTGGCACAGTCAACATTATGTTTGCTGAATGAGTGCACAAATGAAGAAACAAGTTTTCCCTGACCTCTGGCAAGTGTACAGTAGACTGACTGGTTGTGATTTGACCTACTACAGTCATTTTCCATCAATCAGTAAATATTTATTGAGCTCCTCCTGTGTGCCAGGTCTAGGCGCTGGAATACAGGACAAAGCAGATGAAGTTTCTGCTCTCATGGAGCTTATATTTCTTAGGCTCCTAATCTTGTTCTCTGCATACTTCTTTCCCATCTCTCTTCAAAGTTTTGTTCATTTACTCATTCATTCAATGTGTATTTCTCTACCACCTCTTATGTGTCAGACCCTATTTGTCCATTTATTCACAAAAATGTACTGTATGCCTAATGTGTGCCAGGTGCTGTGCAAGTGCTGGGGGCACAGATGGGAAAGCTACAGCCTCTGCCTCAGAGGGATTCATGGTCTGGTTGGGGAGATAGATGGATAATGGTAATCAGCATAAGTTCTGTGACAAACACAAGCTTAGGTGGTATAGATGCAAAGCATGGGGAGTGAGGGGAGGAGGGATGGGCTGGAGTTGGAGGAGGGACAGCACTTAAGGCATGCTTCTTGGGATGGGAGTTATTTGGGCTGCACTGATAACAGTACTTAGGAGCTGGCCCCAGGTAGGAGAGAGGACAATAGTGTTCTGGGCAGAGGTGGCAGATGGGCAAGAGTTGTGGGTCTGAGGGTGCACAGGCTGCTTGGGGAACTATATGGAACTATCTGGGGTGGAGGCTTTAGTTACACAGGGCAGCAAATGAGGTTGGATTTTGGATGGGAGCTGGGACCAGAAGGTGTTCAACACCCAGGAAAAGTTTAGATTTTCTTCTCAGGGTGCTGGAGACTGTCATAGGATTATAAGCAGAAGAGGGCCATGAGCAAGTCTGAGTGTCTGGAATGATCCCTCAGACCTCAGATAACTGGGTGGTGGAGGAAGAGAAGGGAGGTAAACTGGAGGAGGAGGGCCATTTTGCAGGATATTTGCAATAATCCTGGCAAGGGCCTGAAATATGGCAGAGTCACTAGAAATGCTGAGATCTTTTTTTTTTTTATTTGAAGTATAGTTGATTTACAATGTTGTATTAACTTCTGCTATACAGCAAAGTGATTCAGTTATTCATATATATACATTCTTTTTTTAATATTCTTTTCCATTATGGTTTATCATAGGATATTGATTATAGTTCTCTGTGTTATACAGTAGGACCTTGTTTTTTATATTATATATATTCTATATATATATAAATATATATACATTCTATACATATTAGTTTGCATCTGCTAATCCCAAACTCCCAGTCCATCCCTCCCCCAATCCCCTTCCCCTTGGCAACCACCTGTCTGTTCTCTATGTCTGTGATTCTGTTTCTGTTTCATAGATAGGTTCATTTGTGTCATATTTTAGAATCCACACATAAGTGATATCATATGGTATTTGTCTTTCTCTTTCTGACTTACTTCACTTAGTATGATAATCTCTAGTTGCAAAATGCTGAGATCTTTTGATAAGAATTTGGAAATATGAATCAATGAAACCTGGAAACTGGGGGGGACATAGGGGTTGGAGAGGCAAGAGTGAGCCAGAGAGGGGTGTGTGCAATTCCTGACTTAGGGCTCAGCCAGCCTGGGTGACCCAAGGCTTGTCAGAGCCCTTTGTTATTGTAATGAATACAGGAAGAAGAGCAGGATTATGGAGAGAAGGTGTGAATTCGGTTTTGAAGGTGTGCTTATTCATTATGCAGCAGATATTTATTTAGTACCTACTATGTGCCAGGCTGGGTGCTATGTCGGCCTCAGCTGGCAGCCTTTCTCAACCAGAGGTCTGCAAGAGAACTAAGCCTTAATGCCCTAAGGCATTTGGTGTATATATATATATATATATATATATATATATATATACACACATATATATATAATTATTAATTTGTATTGGAGTATGGCTGCTTTGCAATGTTTTGTTAGCCTCCACTGCACAACAAAATGAATCAGCCATACATGTACAGATATCCCCTCCCTTTTGGACTTCCCTCCCATTTAGGTTACCACAGTGCATTAGGTAGAGTTCCCTGTGCTATACAGTATGTTCCCATCAGTTGTCTATTTTGTACATAGTATCAATACTGTATATGTGTCAATCCCAGTCTCCCAATTCCTCCCACCCCATCCCTTTCCCCCTTGGTATCCATACGTTTGTTTTCTACGTTTCTGCCTCTATTTCTGCTTTGCAAATAAGATCATCTATACCATTTTTCTAGATTCCACATATATGTGTTATTATATGATATTTGCTTTTCTCTTTCTGACTTACTTCATTCTGTATGACACTCTCTAGGTCCATCCATGTACCTACAAATGACCCAATTTTATTCCTTTTTATGGCTGAGTAATATTCCATTGTATATATGTGCCACATCTTCTTTATCCATTTGCTGGATAAAGAAGATAGACATTTAGGTTGTTGATAGACATTTAGGTTGCTTCTATGTCCCGGCTATTGTAAATAGTGCTGCTATGAACATTGGGGTGCATGTGTTTTTTTGAATTATGGTTTTCTCTGGGTATATGCCCAGTAGTGGGATTGTTGGGTCATATGGTAGTTCTATTTTTAGTTTTTTAAGGAACCTGCATACTGTTTTCCATAGTGGCTGTATCAATTTACATTCCCACCAGCAGTGTATGAGGGTTCCCTTTTCTCCACACCCTCTCCAGCATTTATTGTTTGTAGGTTTTTTGATGATGGCCATTCTGACTGGTGAGAGGTGATACCTCATTGTAGTTTTGATTTGCATTTCTCTAATAATTAGTGATGTTGAGCATCTTTTCATGTGTTTGTTGGCCATCTGCATTTGGTGTATATAAAGAATTAACTTCTCTTCTATGCATGTAGAATGATATCAAAGCATTTTTTGTGTTCTGCCGTTCAGATGAGGAATCCTTGGATTCAGCAGTGAACAGGACAAACAGCTTGCCTGCCCTCATGGAGCTGAGGGGACATTGTAAATAAACCAGTGAAGTAGAGATTGTGCTAAGTGCTATGGAGGAAACAGAGTGGGCCTATCTTAGGTAAGGGAGGGCCTCATTGAGGAGGTGACATCTGAGCTGACACCTAAAGAAGAGAAGGAGCCAGCATGGAGGAACTCAGGGAAAGGAGTTCTAGGGAGAGGGAACAGCAGCCATAAAATTTATAAGTTTGGCATGAGCATGACTATGTTTGAAGTGATGATAGGAAGCTTCAGGCTGACATGAAATGTAGTTGGAGAGGCAGCTTACCTGCCTTGCAGGTCTAAGTTAAGTGCTCTAGGAAGCCTTAATTTTTTAGGAAAATATTAATATGACATAATTTGCTTCTTAAAATACCATTCTTTGGTAATTTTTTATTTTAAAATACTTTCAGACTTATAGAAAAGTTACAAGATATACCAGTTGTTAACATTTAATTTATTTCTTTATTTCTCACTCTCTCTCTCTGTCATTATTTTTCTGAATATCTGAGAGTAAGTTACAAATGTATGATCCTTTACCCCTAAATACGTCAGTGCCTATTTCCCAAGAATAAAGGATATTCTCCTACATAACCATAGTACAATGATTGAAATTAGGAAATTGATATATATTATTATCTAATCTACAAACATTATCCATATTTCTCTAATTATCTCCATAATATCTTTTATAGAAAAAAAATCAGCCATGGTCCAATCCATGAAGTCATGTTGACTATAGTCAACAGTTAGAGCAGTTACTTAGGCTGTCTTTGTCTTTCACAATCTTAATATTTGTGAAAAGTACTGTATTAGTCTGTTTGGGCTGCTGTAATAGAACACCACAGACTGGGTGGCCTATACAACAGAAATGTACTCCTCGCAGTTCTGGAGACTGGGAGTCCAAGATCAAGGTGCCAGCAGGGCTGGCGTCTGGTGAGAGCTCTCCCCTTGGGTTGCAGACCACCACCTTCTAGCTGTGTCCTCACATGGCCTCTTCTTTGTGCGTGTGGGGGACGGGGGAGAGAAAGGTGTCTCTTCTTATAAGTACACTAATCCTATTGATCAGGACCCCACCTTTATAACCTCATTTGACCCTAATTACAGCCTTAGAGGCCCTATCTCCAAATACTACAGTGAGAGTTAGGGCTTCAACATATGAATTTGGCAGGGGCCACAAATATACACTCCAATTATTTTGTAGAATACCTCCCAATTTGAATTTGTCATGTGTTTCCTTATGATTAGATTCAGATTATGCATTTGGGGCAGAAATCCCACAGACCTGACATAGGGCCCTTCTCAGTGCATCATATTAGGAGGTGTACGATGTCGTTTGTCTCATTACTATGAGGCTAAATTTGATCGCTTGGTTTAAGGAGCTATCTGGCAGATGTTTTCACTGTAGAATTATTATTCTTCCCTTTGTAATTAATATTTTGTGGGGAGATTCATTGATACTGTGAACATACCCTATTCCTCATTAAAACTTCACCCCCTAGTTTATAGCATCCATTGATGATTCTCACCTGAATTAGCTATTACTACGATGTTTGTCAAATGGTGATTCTCTGACTTCAGCATTCTTTCAACGTTTGTTTGTTGGCATTCTTTTTATGAGGAAGAGCTTTTCCTTCTTCACACTTTATTGTTCATTTATTTATATCAGTATGGGTTCAAGAAATCCTGTTTTACAAATATGTTACAATCCATTATCGTCATCAAAACTTAAATTATTTTGTATTTGCCAGTGGGAGCCCCTTCAAGCTGGCTTCTGAGTCCTTGATATGTTCCCATGCTTCTTTCTTTAACTTCTGACACAATAAGATTTTTCAGGTTCATCTTGTATTTCCCTGCTCCAGCTGTGGATTCAGGGAATGCTGGTTCCTCTTAGAAGAGAATAGCATTGATATTTAGACACCAAGATCTGGGTATTAAATACCCATTTTAAAATATGTATAGCCAGACTTACTGATCCTCAGAGTTGCATATTTTAATATTAAGAAGGTTAAGAAATTCAGGTAACTCAAGAATGATGTTGTGGGAAGAGACCTGGACTTTGCATCAGGGAGCTTGACTGTGAGTTCTGACTCTACCACTCGGTGATAAATCATCTCACCTCTCTGGCCTTACATTTCTTCTTTAAATTGAGGTGATCAGACTAGATTATTTCCAAGGCTCATCCCAGTTCTGAAATTGTCTTCCTACTGATACTTCTCTTCTGTCTACCTGCTACCCATGCCTGTTGGCTAAAGCCACTGGAACTGGCAGGATAAAGGTTGGAAAATCAAAAGGCAGTATCTGGACTACACATCCTAGTAAATATGAAAGCAGAGGGAGGACAGGCTGCTCTTTCTGTGCACTGGTCCCCGATGCAGGTAGTGAGGACCAAGGCTCTGATCTGGGAGGCTGACTCTCAGACTGCATATAGCCCTTCCTTGGAAACTTGTGGTTGGGACAGATTCGCCATCAGATCAGATCCTCCTCTCTTTTTGACAAACTGTCTACCTAGACTTCTCAATGTTTTCATCACTTCTTTCTTTCTCATACACTGTATTCATTTGCTGTGTGTCTTCAAGGAAGCCATTCCCTAAACTTCCTGTCTCTAGAGGCAATAAATAGATGTTTCCCAAAAGCAGAACTACAAAAAGCCAATAAACACATGAAGATGTTCAGCCTCACTAGCTTTGCGGAAAATAAAATACAAACTAAAACAAGGAGAAATGAGTTAACTGACAAATTGGCAAGTTAGACCCCAACTAGTGCTTGGCTCTGTGTAAGGGGCATTCCCTGCTCACACACCGTGCTGTAAGGGAGGTGTGGATGGAAGCAGCCTCTCGAGGAAGCACTCCAGAAAACTCTAGCAAAGCCTCAGGATTTTGCACATCGTTTACCCTATTGTCACGTTGGAATTCATTCTAAGAAAATGCTTATGGGGCTTCCCTGGTGGTGCAGTGGTTAAGAATCCTCCTGCCAATGCAGGGGGACACAGGTTCGAGCCCAGGTCCGGGAAGATCCCACATGCCATGGAGCAACTAAGCCCATGTGCCACAACTACTGAGCCTGTGCTCTAGAGCCTGAGAGCCACAACTACTGAGCCCACGTGCCACAAATACTGAAGCCCACGCACCTAGAGCCCGTGCTCCACAACAAGAGAAGCCACTGCAATGAGAAGCTTGCGCACCACAGCAAAGAGTAGCCCCTGCTCGCCGCAACTACAGAAAGCCTGTGTGCAGCATCAAAGACCCAATGCAGCCAAAAATAAATAATTAAATAAATAAATTTATATCTATAAAAAATGAATGCTATAAAGAAAAAGAGAATGCTTATGGATATGAGCAAATCTATCCACACAGGATGTCCAGAGAGAAAAAATTTTAAAACAACCTAAGTGCTCAATAGCTATTGGTTGAGTAACTCACTTATAATATATCCATACAATAAGATACTCTGCAGCCATAAAAAATTATTATCATAGAAGATGACATGGAGAAATGTTCACAAATTTTGAAAAGTTGCAAACCTATATGTAGCTTATAAGCCTATTTTTAAAAGGTGAAAATATGTATAGACAGATTCATAGGAATGAAGGATAGAGAGAAATTTAGCTGCCTAGTTGTCTCTAAGAGGTGAGATGGCAGGTGATTTTTTATTTTTTTTACTCACCTGTATTTTGATAATGAGCATGTATTACTTTTGTAATAAGAAAAATGTTACTATAGGAAAAAACCACACGCTTCATCTTCCTTCATCACTATGGAGTGAGCACAGTGTTCCCCAGCCTCTCTTGCTAGGTCAGAAAAGCAACTGTCCTGTGGTCAACTGTCTGGGTATGCATTTTTTGTCAAGAGGAATGTTGTTTCAAGGTGAAAGTGTTTCTAACTCACATGAGACCTTTGTGGAAGTGCAGGTCCTTTGAGCTTAGGCATTGACCAGGGGAGTAGGGGTGGGGGGTGTACTGGATCTTCTGCTGGGTCTTTTCCACAACTCTGTCCTTGTTCTTACGGTTCTTCCTCTGCTTTGCCCCCTTCAGCTTTGTACCTCCCACCTCCTCTTTTGCTATTCCAGCTCTCTATTACTGTATCACACTCTAAGACTTAGTGGCATAAAACAAAAACAACCATTTATTTTGCTCATGAATGCACAATTTGTGCAGAGCTCAGTGAGATCTGGTCAGCTCTGCTCCATGCAGCATCAGCTGGGCTCAACAGGTGTGGAGAATCTGATGACAGGGTGGCGTAGTCCTGCAGTTGACCGATTGATGCTGCCACCAACACATTTCCATGTAGGCCTCTCCGTGGGGCCGCTTAGGCTTCTTCATGGAATGGTGGTTAGGTTATTAGTCTTCTGGGGTTGCTATATAGCAAAATACCTCAGACTGGGTGGCTTCAACAAAGGAAGTTTATTTTCTCACAGTTCTGGAGCCTAGAAGTCTAAGGTCAAGGTGTTGGCAGGGTTGATTTTATTCAGAGGGCTCTCTCCTTGACTCCCACTGTGTCCTCACAACGTGTTTCTCTGTGTGTGCCCATTCCTAGTGTCCCTTTCTCTTCTTACAAGGACATCAGTCATATTAGATTAGGGCCCCATCCTGACAGCCTCATTTTACCTTATTCACCTCTTTAAAGGCCATCTCTCCAAATACAGTTATATTCTGAAGTACTTAGGACTCCAATATATGAATTTGGAGGTGGGAGACACAATTCAGCCCATAACAAGTTCCAAGAGTGAGTAAAAAGTGGAAGCTGCCAGTTCTTTAAGAACTGGGTCTAAAAAGTGGCGCTGCATCATTTCCTCCATGTTCTTTTAGCCAAACGGTCATAAAACCCAGATTCAAGGAAAAGGGGACATAGACCACCATCTCTGTATGGAGGGAGTATCAAAGAATTTTGGAGCTGTATTTTAAAACTACCAGTCTTGCTTTGAGTGTATTGCTGCTCTAAGCTGACCTGGAGCTAGAATCCATGGTTCACTATTCTCTTTGTCCTGGCTCCAGATGAAAATATGCTTTAATCCCTTAATGAAATCTGTTTGTAAAGTCCTGCTGACCTCATTTGCTGTGCTAATATCCCAGCTGCTAAAGAAGGTGTTTGAATTGAGAACTAAAGGGCGTTATTTGAAAACTATCACCATTCGCCCACTTGTTGTGCCTGAATATGTAGTAGCTGTTCATTGATGGGCAACGTCTTTACTCCATAACGTTTTTCACTATTTACTATAAATTTAAATGTACTATAAATTTTACTGGTTTTTTAATGTATATTGTCTATTTCACCTGACCTGATGAATATCCTGCCATCCAAGACAGATCTTTGTTTTGTTCTCTAATGTATCACAAGTCCTTAAAACCATGCCCGGCCCATAATCAACACTCAATAAGTGTATATTGAATGGATAAAAATACAAGTTGATTTTGTGCTTTGCTGTCTAACTGGTGAGCCCATTTCCCTTCCTCCAGTATAAACAGGCTCTCCAGGAGCTTGTGCGCTGTGTGGCGCTGACAAGGATCTGCTATGGTGACTCACACTGGAAACTGGCCGAGGCGCATGTTAACCTGGCTCAGGGTTACCTCCGGCTGAAAGGTGAGTCTCCCTCAGGCTGAAGAGGATTGGCTGGTTGGTTTCTGCTCTTTTCCTCAAATTTGACTTAACTTTAGAAGGATCAGGTTTTCTTGGACATTCTCCTCTCTACACATTGAGAGCTATTTCCTCTCACAAAGAGTCAATACGATTTTTTAATACAATATGTAAAAAAGAGAAGGAAGACTTTAGCCCTCTGAGCCTTGATTTTTATGATCTTAAAAGTAGTTCTTGGGAGATAATTAACTTGTTAGCTTTGAAGGCATTGTAGAAATGGCCCAGGGCATAGAGTTGGGGCCTAAAATAGGATCCATTCACGTATGTATTGATGGAAAGTCTCTTGCCTATAAGTGACACCCCCCAAAAAAAAATAAGAGGCTAAATCAAGCTGACAATAAACAAAAGGTAATTCATTGACCCATACACTTAAAAATCCAGGGGTAAAACTTACTGTAGACTTAGCCAGATCCACTTTTTCAAACAGTGTGATCAGATTTCCGTTCCTCCCTTTTCGTACCACTTGACTCTGTTTTTCTCTGTATTGGCTCCATTCTTAGCCAAACTTTGCCCACGTGGTGGCAGCAAGGTTGCCAGCAACTTTAGGTTTCCCTCCTCAGCATTCCCAGGAAAAAAAGAGTGTCTCTCCTCCAAAATCTCAGGGTTTGGGGATTCTTATTGGGCTGATGTGGGTTGTATGCCAAAGAAAAGAAAAGAGTCTGATTGGCTAGACCTGCCTTTTGGCTCCACTGGATCCTTGGGGAGAGGCTGGCCTTGGCTAAATCACAAGGACTGAGTGTGCAGGGGCTGGGCATCCTCAAAAGAAAACAGGGGAAGGGAGAGTGGATGCAGAGAAGGCAAAAACATGGACTGGCAACCTAGGACAAGAGGTACAAGAGTACATCTCTGTACTCTGTTTCTTTAATTGAAAAGTGATGATAATGATGATGATATGATGGCACTGACTTCCCAGGATTGGCCCAGTGAATAAATAAACAAACAGAAATGAAAAACACCACAATGCTAAGCACACAATTGCCACCCAATAAATTTAGCCAAATCTGATTATAGATTGCTCCTACCTGTTAGATCAAAGACTATTAGAGGGGCTTCCCTGGTGGCGCAGTGGTTGAGAGTCTGCCTGCCAATGCAGGGGACATGGGTTCGTGCCCTGGTCTGGGAGGATCCCACATGCCGCGGAGCAACTAGGCCCATGTGCCACAACTACTGAGCCTGCGTGACTGGAGCCTGTGCTCCGCAACAAGAGAGACCACGACAGTGAGAGGCCCGTGCACCGTGATGAAGAGCGGCCCCCGCTCGCCGCAACTAGAGAAAGCCCATGCACAGAAATGAAGACCCAACACAGCCAAAAAATAAATATAAATAAATAAATAAATTAAAAAAAAAAAAAAAAAGACTATTAGAGCCAGAGGGGACGTTGGAGATCATCTAGTTCAAACCATACCCTTATACCCCCTATTTTCTAGATTCAGAGGAAACAACTAGTTTGAGTTGAAACAGCTTGCCTCAGGTCACACTGTTAATAGATAGCTGATCTGAGACTCAGACCTAGGATTTTGGTTGCCAGTACCAGTGTCCTAGCATCAAGGATTTTTTTTAATGATGTTTTTCTTCTACAGTCTGCTACCTTTCTGCATTATAGTCTTTCTTTCTCAATTTAAAGTAAGAGCAGTATCTACTATTTATTAAGGTCTTATTGAGTGCCAGGCACCATGCTATTTTCCATGTATAATTTCCTTCAATCTTCACTACAGTGCTATGAGGTGGGTAATGTTATTATCCCTGTCTACAGTCGAGGAAGCTGGGGCCAACATTTCAGGTAAGTGGTGGAGCAGGGAATTCACTCTGAGCAGTCTGATTTCAGAGCTAGTGTTCTTGAACCTCAACCCATGCTGCTTCTTGTAGATTGAGTTCAAGTTTCTTGAGGAAATGGACCAGAATTCATCATGTCTTTTATAATGTAGCATACATTATTGGCACTAATAAATTTCTGGTAGGTTGATTGTGTACTTTTAAAAAAAATAAGACAAAATTCTGTAAGTGTTCCTATAGGAATAGCATACCCTGGACTTTCTCCCTCAGAAAATATATTCTGTTTTATAGACATAGGAACAGAATGAATTTCATAATTTGACAGCTCTTTTTAGAGATTTGAGATACAATTCCATGTAATGAAGAACGTAAGACCAGGAGTATTAGGATGTGGGTGGAAGGGTGTGTCATTGTGGGGAAGAAGATGGGGATATGGGAAAATGAAAAAACCTGAGACCTAAATAGTGATCCTCAGTGTCACCTTTACCACAAATGAATATGCCAATGGAAGAACGCTGGAACGCACCGGGAATTAGTTCTTGGTAGTAACTGTTTTTAAACTTCATTTGATTCGTCTCAGTCTATTACCACATAGAAATAAGAGATTGTAGCACATCAGCCCCTTACCTCATTGGAATTGTTTGTCAGTTTTTATAGATACCATCATATTTGTATTATGTTAAAATAACTCTCTAAAGTTATGATTATGGATGGGTGAGCAGAAGATTCAAAATTTTTAGTATTTCATTAAGATTGCTGTCACAAAGCCAGGATTAAAATTCATGAATATTTTATTTCCTGCCCAGAATGCTGTAGTCTTTGTATTCCATTTGTTTTTTTATAATTATTCATAACATTTTACGTCTGATATTGGTGAAGTTTCAAAGCTGTTCATTTCCTGCTCATTCTGATTATTTCTAAAAAGACCATTGTGGGAAAAATTTTTTATCTTGAGTCCTAGGTGTGAAACACTTCTTTGTTTCTTATAGTCATGATCGTATTTCATGCTGTCCCGATATATCTCCATGTACCACTTGATGATATATGAAGGAGACCTCATCAGATTCCCTGGCCAGAGATAACTATATTCCTGTCCAGCTGAAATGAAAGAGAAACTGAGACTTCTTTTTCTTTGTCCACAGGACTGTCACTGCAAGCAAAACAACATGCAGAAAAAGCCAAAGAAATCCTCACCAACTTCATTGTGCATCCCTACAATGACAATACAGATGTTTTCAAATGTTCGGTTGAGTTATTCCATACCATGGGGAAAACCTTACTCTCCCTTCAAAAGTATCCTTTTGCCTCTAATCTTTACAAATAGAAATACCGTTCATAATGCTTATAGTTAATTTTTAAGGCCAAATCAAAAGATGACAGGTGACTCAGGAAGGGTGATGGGAAGTATGAGAGCCAAGGATGTCCAGGAACTAGGGCCCCAGAATGTAGCACGAAGTGTAAAGTTTCCTGAACACAACTCAGGTTTAAGGAAGCTTCAGAGAATTTGACAAAAGCAGAGAGACTTTCAAAGGAGCTGCTGCAATGTGGAAGGATTATAAAGGAAGAATGGATAGAAATTCAAACGCAGATCAAATTGTCATTTGCACGGTAAGTTTTCAGTTTAGGACTTTTTGTATACGTGATTCCTGGAGGTTCTTTGCCAGAAGACTCTGTCTTCAGGCAGGAGGAGATTCTGCATGGTGCTGTGTCGGTGGCTTCTCCATGGCCATTGTCCAGAATTAAAAGAGGAGGACGACAGTCACATCAGAGCAGCCACAACCAAGGCATGTACGTCAGTGGCACTCTTCACTAAATGTGTAGTGCTCTCATACCCAACCCTGGGTCCTAGAGTCCTGATGTCATTCTCTTGACTTCCTATTTCTTGCCTGCTCTCCCTGCCCCTCTCCTCCTGCCCTTGTTTCCTTCCCTCCCCTCCCCACACCCCCATCTTCCTTTTTTCCCCTACTGTTCTAGTCTAAGATATTTCAATACATTGATTTTACGATTAGGGACTCAAAGGAGAAAGATCTTAGAGATATCTGAATCCATGAGAATGAGAAGATTGTTCCTTGTTCTCCCTACCCCCAACCCACACTCACCAAATAAATCCCGGTGGAAGAGATATAGTGGCTGGAGCCTGAGGGAGAAGGGGCCTTGGGTAGTCAGCACATTTATCCCTCGCCAAAGGCCAACTCCAAGCCAATTCCCCAGAGCAGTGGGGTGACAGAGAATGTACCCACTCTTTGGAAGGATGTGTTTGTGGGAGGAAGAGGGCAGAGAAAGGTCTATTCTAGAAGAGGCAGAGAATCCCCAGCAGACCTACGCAGCAGCCTTTAACCAAGCCTGGAAGAATTCAGTGTAAATTAATAATCAGACTATACGTATAGGTTGATTCCCAAGAGAACTCAGGGACACAATGGACTCATTTTAAGAAGGAAAGGGCCCTGAAGGAGCACACCTAATGCTTCCATATGAATGGGAGCTGGGAAGGACTAACTTTGACTCATGCTTTTAAAGATATTTTTGTGATCATAAGTCCACTCTTGTTAATTTGTTTGTTTGGGAGTGTTTTTGGATATGAAGTGCAGAGAATTCATCAGTCCATGCAAACCTTTGGTACACTTTTTTTTTTAACATTTTAAAAAATTAATTAATCTATTTATTTTTGGCTGAGTTGGGTCTTCGTTGTTGCGCACGGGCTTTCTCTAGTTGCGGCAAGGGTGGGGGGGCTACTCTTCATTGCGGTGCGCGGGCTTCTCATTGAAGTGGCTTCTCTTGTCGCGGAGCACGGGCTCTAGGCACGTGGGCTTCAGTAGTTGTGGCACGAGCGCTCAGTAGTTGTGGCACGAGGGCTCAGTAGTTGTGGCTTGCAGGCTCTAGAGCGCAGGCTCAGTAGTTGTGGTGCACGGGCTTACTTGCTCCGCGGTATGTGGGATCTCCCCGGACCAGGGCTCGAACCCATGTCCCCTGCACTGGCAGGTGGATTCTTAACCACTGCGCCACCAGGAAAGTCCCTGATATGCTTTTTTAAATTGATTTTTTCCTTCCATCTCTGATCCTTACTCTCATTCTGTCACATACAGATCATAGATAACCTTTTTAAACGATGATTTATGTCTTTAAATATGTATCTCTGAATAATAAATAGCATTGTTTTCTGTATTTATATGTTTTAGGTTTATATAAATTTGCAGTATGTGTCTCACTCTGTTTCTCACTTTTGTCCACTCAGCACTGTTTTTAGTTGTTGCTGCTGGCTGCTTTGTTGTGCTCCATAGAATGCATCTGCCATCCTGTGCTTGTCTGTCCTCCTAACAGTGGGCATTCAGCTCATCCCCAGCTCCCAGCTCCCACAATGGTGCTGCCATGAACATCCTTGTGCAGCTCCACTTAGGAGGCTCAGAGAGACTTTTCTGAGTTTATACTCTAAGGGTAGGATTGCATGGTCACAGGGTACACTCATACTTCAAGTTCACCACACACTGACCAATTGCTACACCCATCTGCATTCCCACTTGTGGGGCACGTGGGTTCCTGTTTTCTCACATCCCCAACAATGTTTGGCATTGTTGGTCTTTCTAACCTTTGCCACCTTGATGCATATATGTACTATTTAATTACTTTTCAATTCTACTTATGTTTCTCTTATTAGTGAGTTTGGGTACCTCTTCATATACTGCTTAGCCATTGGATTCCCCTTCTGTGAATAGCCTGTTAGCATTCTTTCTCATTTTTCTTTTGGGGTTTCCTGTGCTTTTCTTATTGATAATTGAGATTTTCTTATATATTATAAATTAGCAATATTACGAATATTTTCTTATATCTATCACTCATTTATTAATTTTGTCTATGGTGTTCTTCATGGCATGGAACTTAATTTTTCTAGAGTCAAATCCATTAATTTTAACCTTATGATTTATGCTTTGAGAGTTTCCCACCCAAATATTAAAGATATTCTCCAAAATGTCCATGTGAGTCTTGCTTTAACCTATCCCACATGTTTTAACATGTAGCACTATCACTCACATAACTTAGTTTATAAATTACTCTTTAATCCAGATATTATTCAAATGATATGTGTTCTAGTTTGCATATATATGGGGTTCTTTCAAGATATTCTGATGTTACTGATTTTTAATTTTACTGCATTGTGAGCAGAAACATATTTGTATAGTATCAACTCTCTGAAATTTACTGACGCTTCCTTTGTGACCTAGTCCATAGTCAATTTTTGTGAATGTTCCAAGTATGCTACAAAAGGAAATTGTATCCTTTACCTGTTGTGTTTAAGGTTCTAATAAATCTGTATTAGGGTAACTTTATTAACTGTTACTCAGATTTATATATATTTTTACCTTTTGCCAATTTGATACATTAGCTTTTAAGGTAAGTGTGCTTAAATTTCGAACTATAATTATTGATCCATTTGTAGCTTCCCATGATTCTGCCAGTCATTTTTTTATATATTCTGATATATTCTGTTGGGTGGGAGCAGAATTAAACAGCCTGTCTTCTTAATCTGTTATTTTATTTGTGAGTATATATTGTTCTTCTTTGTCCCCTATGTCTGTATCTATTTTGCCTGATATTAAAATTGATATTTTAGCTCTCTTGGTAACAATTTTCCTATAATACCTTTTTCCATCTCTTAATTTTCAATCTCCTTATTTTTTTTGTTTTAATTACTGATATATTTGAGTTTTTAAATTTCCTTTTGTCCTACCAGTTTTATGTTCCTTGCTTTCTCCTTTCTTGCCTTCCTTTAGTTTAGTCAAATATTTTTGTCATCCCTTTCCCTATCTATTAACTGGTAAGTTATACATTATTTTATTTTTCTTCTAGTGATTACCATAGAATATGTCGCTTGTATCCCTGACCTATTACACTCTAATGCAATTAGCCAATTAACCACTTTCTGGACAATGTAAGGGACTTTGAGTATGTTAATTCTCTCTTCCCTTCTGCTTGATGCTATATTGTTTTGTACTTAAATCACCATATGTTTCATACCACAGACAAGAAGAAAGAGGAAGAAGATATTTGTAATACATATAATTGACAAAGGGCTCATGTCTAGAATCTGTAAAGAACTCCTATATATCAATGAAACAAAGACAAACAACTGAATAGAAAAGTGGACAAGAGACTTTTTTTTTTTTTTTTTTTTTTGGCCGGGCCCTGTGGCTTGCGGGATCTTAGTTCCCCAGCTAGGGATTGAATCATGGCAGTGAAAGTGTCAAGTCCTAACCACTGGACTGCCAGGGAACTCCCTGGCAAGAGACTTTTCACAAAAAAGGATACCCACATAACTAAAAAGATATTAAATGACATTCTTCTCATCAGTCACCAGGGAAATGAAAATTAAAGTCATAGGATACTACTACATTTCCACTAATATTGCTAAAATTTTTAAAAGCCTAATAACATCAAGCTGGCAAGTATATAGTGCTCTCATATGTTTTCTCATATGTGGTTGTTTAGAATATATTTGGTATAACTACTTTAGAAAACTGGCATTATTACTAAGTTTAAATGTTTGAATACCCTATGACCCAGCAGTATCACTCCCAAATATACACCCAACAGAAATGCATACATATGTTCACCAGAAGACACAGCCAAGAATGTCCAAAGCTACGTGTTATTTGTAATAGCCAAGGACTGGAAACAATCCAAATGTTCATCAGCAGTAGAGTAGATAAATTGTGATCTGTTCATACAAAGAAAATGATGAAACAACTCCTATGCTTAACACGATGGATGACTCCCAAAAACATAATGTTTGTGAAAGAAGCCAGACTAAAAAGAATTCATACTGTATGATTCCGTTTATGTAACAGAGGAGGAAGGGGATAGTGACTGGGAGGGCCGACCAGTCCAGAATTTCTTCCTGCCCAGAAGTAGGTATTCTTCTTATATTGTAAAACAGAAAATATAAAGATATGAGGTCCAAGATATGATATTTGTTGCATATGTTGTGACCTAATGCTATAAGTACTTAATGTTGAGCACTTGCTGTAAAATTGAGTAAATTATCCTCTGCCAAAATCCACCCCTCCTGAGTGCTTTCCAAATTATCAGTACCAAACCTTGTCAGCAGATGGCGGGCCTTGTACACATATGTGCTGAATACCCAACAAGAATTTAAGTTAATGTTCCAAGCTGTCCTACAGTTTTGTGTTTAAGGGAGCCGTTTTAAACTTCACTGCTTCTTTTCGTCCTGATTCTTCACTGTAAGATATTCATTGGAACATGCATGTTTAAACTGCATGGTTTTCATGCAATCACTTTGTTTCCTCAGTGAAGTGTGAATATTTTGTCCAAACTGATCTGCTTTAGAAAGTAACAAGGCTTTGGTTTTGTACATTTCTACAAATATGCTCACAACCACAAGGGCTTTTTCTTTTGCCCAGTCTTGGAAGTGGAAGACCAGGATAATTTCTTAGGCAGCTCTCGCGGGATTTGTGTTTCTCTTAAAAGGGTATCTTTCAGTGCATCCTCTTCCTGCTCCTGCCTCGCCTTTTATGGTGCCCATCAGGCTAGGACAGTTCTCTTCTCCTTGGGCGGACAGTTCTCTTCTCCTTGGGCTGACAGATAAGGGCTGCAGG